CAGTCTTTGAATTCATTCTCAGCATACATTAAATTGAAACTATCATTTTCCTGTGCAGTATTTTTTTTCTAATAGACAATATTCATGACATTTGGCCTCTTTCACACACTACAGATTAAAACACCGTGTCCCTTCATTTAATGTAAGCGATCTGACTTTGCAAGCTGGGCATTATAAATTCATTCACTCATTGTGCAATTATTTGTTCCTTGCCTACTGTGTATAAGGCATTTGGTTCAACAGAAAAGTTACTGTAATCACAAATCAAGGACCAGTGTTCTGCCAGTAATTTGAATGTGATTTGAAAGACCCAGTAAAGCAGCCTCTAACTAAATAAACTCACCACACAGTTGACTGGAACCACTTGGGACTAGGTGTGTCTGCATGAATATATATAAAAGAATTTAATGTGGAAATTTGTAAAAACAGAGATAATTAGAAACAAAAATTAGACATATGACTAATAAACAATTATAATCCTAATCTCATAGGTTCCTGTTTTCTCATTTGTCAAGTAAGATAATCCTAGGCACTAGCTAAATATTTATTGAATGAATTAAAATGAAATGTATAAAGATTTCAAGATGTCATATGATGCATATTTCTCTTCTAATTTAAGAAATTATCAAAGTAATAGCCCTTTGATAATTCTAGGCAGATCATAATAAATAAAAATTTAAAAAAAAAAAAAAATTCTAGGCAGATCATTTTAGCTTACAATGGAATGTTTACAGTCCAAGGCTGAAAAGTCAGACCAGTTAGCTGGGATCCCCATCTGTCTTTTGAGTAACTGAGTAATTACTGATTGAGTAATCCTGGGAAAGTTACTCAAAGAAACTCGGTCGTCAGGTACCCAAACTGCAAAATAGGAATAATCATGTATTGAATATGCCAAAAATGTGCCAGGTATAAAAGACTAGCACGCAGAAGTTGTTCAATAATGAATGCTTAATTTGACAACTTAATTTCAGAATATAAACAACTTTAAAGATCTGTGAACTCTAAACAGTCTTCATTTTCCTAAGATACTGTAACATTTGACCAATAACAAAGACTTCCCCACAACTTCCTGATGGAAAAGACACATTTGTAGATAAGGAAAAAAAAGATACAGAAATAATGCTCTTTTTTTCCAGAGTAATACATAATTTTTTAAAATTTTAATCCTCATACACACACACACAAAAACCTATAATATGAAATGACACAGGCCCACATTGATTTGTCCCATCATACTAAAAATGTAAAACACAAAAGGCAGTACGATTTCTGTGATACTGACTACATACAAGAAATTGTGAATCACTGATAATTGTCTCTAACTTTACAGAAATATTAGAATTGGGTTTCTTAAAGTAGTAAGAATTATTCTGTGGAGAATGTCCTTGGTTGAGCTTTAGAGGATCCAGTGACCTAAAGGACCTAGATACAAAATTTTATTTACATATGTTCCCACACACTTTTTGGAGAGGAAAAGATCCAGGGTTTTCACAGATTCTTCCACAGCTTTTCAAAAGGGCAAATAAACCAAGCACAAAAGCTCAAGTATCCCCACTCCAGAAGTGTGGATGTAAATTACAACTCTTATGTAGGGTACAACACAGTGGTGAGAACTGGATTTTAGGAAATGTCACTCAATATTTTTAGTATACAAAGATAATGTGTTATCAGAGAAGAATCTACACAGATTAACAAGATTTTATTTTATTTTTTTTTAAAGATTTTACTTATTTATTAGACAGAGATCACAAGTAGGCAGAGAGGCAGGCAGAGAGAAAGGAGGAAGCAGGCTCCCTGCTGAGCAGACAGCCTGATGTGGGGCTTGATCCCAGGGTCCTAGGATGATGACCTGAGCCGAAGGCAGAGGCCTTAACCCATGGAGCTACCCAGGTGCCCGATTAACAAGATTTTAGCACACATTTTGATTTTTGTTTTTTAACCTGAATAAACATATATAAATAGTTAAGATATCAAAACTTAACTGATAAATAAGTTTGAACAAAGATCTGTAGAGTAATATAGTATTTTACTTTTGAAATTCAACAAAACTAATGAATTAGCAATTACAACAGCACTGTGAGCATCTGTGACTTTAGCAGAGTACTATTGAAATAATATATTCTTACTAGATCATATTTGTCATCATTAATGGTATTGTCAAATTATCTATTTCTGTAATATAATTACAAGGGCTCATTAAAAGTGTCAAAAAGAAGAAGTACTTTAAAATCTCAAGAATTGTGAAGAAACACTGGATATCAGTCCACTGACCATTGAGCCAACTTTTCCAGGAAATAAAAGCAGTAATAGGTTAAATAGAACTTTATTCTTCATTGACTATCACAATTATTTGGTGTAGGACTGGAGAATTATATGTCAAGTGGGTTGATTTTCATGGGCATTTAAAACAGTTTACAGTTCTTATATTGCTAAAATAATATGGATCAAAAATCTCCATTAAATATTAAACATATTACTAGCTATTTTATGTATATACTTGCTATTGGCACATGACAAATTCTGAATGATGTCATAGCTTGTCATTTTGATTTTGTTTTCCATTATGTCTATTGTCATCAAATTATGTACCAAGCTAAAATGTTAACACAAAAAAAATGGTTTGCATGGAGGAACTCTGAGAAATATTACATCAGGGCAGCCAGATTTAATAATAAGAGCTAAAATAGAGTAATCATTTATTATGTACAAGACACTGATACTCAAAGCAATAGCTATCGCTCTATCCGTCTATATACACATTCACACACAGATATGCAAGCACATGTATTTGTACATATGTATGTGTGTCTATGTAGGTGTGTTATAGCCACACACACACACATACATATACACAGGGCCAAAGTGATAAATATACATCCATCTTCATACAACTCAAGGGAGTGGGTACTACTATTGTCTCCGTTTTGCCCACCAGAAACATGGCATTAGATAGTGTAAATAAATTGCCTATGAATACACTGCCATTAAGCAAGCCAAAATGTGAACCCAGGTAATGCTCTGCAAATCCCTGGTTTTTACCCATTGCTTATAAGTGTCTCTGGAAATAATGGTAATAAAGACACAGGGCAGGTGGTAAGGAGGAATGGGTTGTTTGGGAAGTGGTGGTGACATTGAAGGGATACTATTTGGTAAAAGCCCTTGAGTTAATGTGGATTATACTCTGGATGTAATATTAGAACAGACATCTGATTGATTACAGTTCCAGATAAACACCCATGCTCACTCCATATACTTAAAAAGAGATTACTTCACAGGTAGCATAATCCTTACTTGTTGAAAAAGTTAGCTTTGTATGTTTTGCTTTGTGTTTGTTGAATTTTTTCTTTTTGTCCTTCATTTCTAAATTGATGCAGTTTCAGAAGTGAAAAACTGAAAACTTCATCAACCCACCTTTGGCTTGAAGAGGTATATTTTGACATTTCTTACATAGTAGTCAAATTATGATATATGTTTAGCATTATATCAACTAATGCTGTGGGGGAAACAGATGTTTGTGTTTTATATAATCAAAATCTTTGCTCAGAAATTAAGAAAAGAAAGATCCTCTTATTAAAATGTAAGGTGTTTAAAATGACTCAAATTGTTAGGTTAAAAAAAATACCTAAGTGAATAAAAAAGATTTGCACTCAGTGTTTTCCTAAACAGTGTAATTTACAGCACTTAAGTGAAACTTAAATAGATACATTGGTGCTATAAATTGCAAATTATGCAATAAACGTGATAAGGCATAAGCATTTTTCTTTCATGAAATCAAAGCCTGACAGTAAGGAATTCATTCTTAATGCATTTAGTATTGATCGCATACTCACTTAAAATGCTCATCTTTTTAAGGGGAAAAAAAAAAAGCAAAAGGTGGATCTTATCACCAAAATGCTCTCGAATAAAATAAATCTATTTTATTGCCGACTTATGGGTTTTCTTCCTTTTTTCTCACATTGTCTATATACCCTAGGAAAAAGTCTAACACAAAGCCATTTGCAGTGCAATTGTAATAAAATGTAAATCTCATTTTTATAAAGTTAAAATACTTACTAATTATAGTTAGAAAAACCATAATACCTTGAAGAAATATATGCAAAAATCCATCCCATCATTCAACAAGCACATATTAATGCTAGGCACGGGGATCTGTTCTATATGCGAAGCACAGGGATCTGTTCTCAAGGAGCATATACAGACTGTTTCTGGAAGACACTCATATCTTTTAAAAAGTCCTAAGAGTTTCACAAAAATTCTACTAGGATATTTGTTCTATAATGTAGCAATATTATAAGATACAGGATCAATATAAAAAAAATTGTTCACAATAGGAAAAAGAATCTTGAAATGTAGTTAGGAAAACAAATGACATGCAAAAATGTTGAAAGAATAGAGTATTTAAGAATAAATTTAACAGAAGTGTAAGACTATAAACTGAAAACTATAAAACATCACTGAGAAAATTTTAAAAGACCCCCGCAAAAGTGAGATAATGCCATGTTCATAAATTAGAAGAACCAATATCATTGACAGAAATTCTCCAAACTGATCTCTATAAAATTTAACAAACTCTCTATGAAAATCCCAGCGATCATTATTATTGAAAGTGACAACATCATCATAAATTTTACATGGAAAGGCAAAGGAACAGTTAAAGTAATTTTGAAAAAGAAGGTTGAATTCAAAGGATTTATATTATTGGATTTCAAGTCAATATAAAGCCACAGTAATTGAGACAGGATATTATTTTTGTAAAGATAAATATATATATTAATGGAACCGGAGAGAAAGTCTAGAAATATACCCTCTAATTATGTCAACGGATTCTTTTTTTTTTTTTTTAAAGCTTTTATTTATTTGACATAGAGAGAGAGATCACAAGCAGGCAGAGAGGCAGGCGGGGGTGGGGGGGAAGCAGGCTCCCTGCTGAGCAGAGACCCCAACATGGGAATCGATCCCAGGACCCTGAGACCATGTCCTGAGCTGAAGGCAGAGGCTTTAACCCACTGAGCCACCCAGGCGCCTCTGTCAATTGATTCTTGATAAAAGTACCAAGGCAACTCAAGGAAGGGAAAAAGCCTTTTCAGTAAATGATACTGGGATGATTATTTACATGAAAAAAAAAATGTTAGATTCTAGTTTTACACCATATATAAAAATAAGCTAAAAATGGATCATATATCTGAATGTACAAACTATAATCATAAAACATCTGGAAGAAATAGAAGACAATAGAAAAAATAGGAGAAAATCCCTAGCTTTGGGATTAGGCAAAGATTTCTTATACCAATGGTATGATTCATCCAAGAAACAAATTGTTAAATTGAATTTCAGAAAAGTTAAAAAAACCTTTCTCTTCAAAAAACACCACTAAGTAAGTAAAAAGACAATCCACAGTCTAAGTAAAAATACTGTTAACTCATATATCTAATAAAAATCTTTGATCTATAATATATCAATAACTCTAATAATTCAAGAAATAAATCAATTAAAAGTGGCAAAAGGTCTGATTAGATATTTCATTGAAGACAACATATAAATGGCAAGTAAGTACATAAAAGCACTCTCAACATCATTAGTCATTATGTAATACAAATAAAAATTTCAGTAAGATACCTCTACTCACAGGAGAATGGCTAAAATTAAAGACTTAAACTTCTAATTTTATTGAGGATATGGAAAAGCTGGACATCTCACACATTGCCGGCTGGAATGTACAATGGTGCACCCACTTTGGAAAACAATTTGTCAGTGATGGGAAGGAGGACTGACTGCAAATGGGCACAGAGGAACTTCTGGTGAAGACAGATGTGCTCTAAAAGTGGACTGAGGTAATCAACGCACACAGTTGGATATACTTCCTCAAAAGTCTCATGCTGCGGGGCACCTGGGTGCCTCAGTGGGTTAAGCCTCTGCCTTTGGTTCAGGTCATGATCCCAGGGTCCTGGGATCGAGCCCCGCATCGGGCTCTCTGCTCGGCAAGGAGCCTGCTTCCCTTCCTCTCTCTCTCTGCCTGCCTCTCTGCCTACTTGTGATCTCTGTCAAATAAATAAATAAAATCTTAAAAAAAAAAAAAAAGTCTCATGCTGCAAATACAATGGTAAACTGTATAGTAAGTTATAATTTTAAAAAGTTAAAAATCAAAGGAATACCTTTAGACAAATCATGTACAAACCTCATGTATAAAAATGAGGAAATATCTAATCCATCTGTAGAAACAGAATTGGTTCACACATGTGACTCTACAGTTTTTTTTCTAAAGTTCTGGCTCCAGTATTTCATTTTATGATATCACAATATTTGATTAAAATTGAGATAAATTCCATTCAAAATAAAAAAAAAAAAAAAGGAAATCATCTTGTTAAAACTTTTCTGTTCTGTGCAACAAACCATAACTTTAAACTGCTGGTGGTAGCTGATTTTAAAACTTCAATTAGGGGCACCTGGGTAGCTCAGTCAGTTAAGAGTCTGAATCTTGTTTTTGGCTCAAGTCATGATCTCAGGATCGAGAAATCAAGCCCCTGAGTTCAGTGCAGAGTCAGCTTAAGACTCACCCTCTCCCTCTACACCTCCCCATTGCTCTCTCTCTCTCCCTCTCTTTCTTTCTAAAATAAAAAAATAAGGGGTGCCTGGGTGGTTCAGTTGGTTAAGCATCTGCCTTCAGCTCAGGTAACAATCCCAGGGTCCTGGGATCAAGTCCTGCTTCGGGCTCCCGGCTCGAAGCTTCTCCCTCTCCTTTCCACTTCCCATTTGAACTCTATCTTTAAAAAAAATAAAATAAATCTTTTAAAAAATACAACTTTAATTAGACTTTGTTCCACCCATTATAAGTAATTTCTGAGGAATTGATTTTTTTAATGTAATAACCATAAAATAAGATGGCTACCTGACATTTCTTACTTCAGGGGACATTTGTGTTTTTTCTTAATTCAGAAAACCAGAATATGGATGCATATATGTGTTTTCAAACAAAAATATTTGCACATATAAAGAGCTGTAATGCATTTATGTGTATGCATGTATAAACATATCCATTTTACACAATAAAATTATATTTGTATAAATATAAAATATAAGTATTTTAGGTATGAAATATTATAAAAATATATAATCTTTTATAAATATACTATAGGTATATAGCTTTATTTTGTATTCACACAAAAGTACTACACTATTCTCTGGCAAAAGTTATTCTGGAAGCTCCTCCCAACAATATTCCATGTGAAGAAGAAACACAAAACAAATGATGCTTTAACTTTTGTTTTGCACATGTCAATAAAGGTGCATGGCTATAAAAATATTTGTTCTGAAGATATTTCTAATACGTTAAAATATCAAGAAATTTATTTTCAGTTAATTTAAATTTTATTATCAATCTAATTAGAAAATAGAGACTTTCCATTCTCAAATCTAAAAGAAAAGTTAGAGCGAGAGTAATTTAAATCCAGTTTTTAGTCATCCTCTTTTCATATCATCAAGATATTAAATACTCCATCATTTTCTTTAGGATTATTTCAATATTTAATCATTTATTCATTCAGTCAATAAATACCCAGTGAGTACTGTGTCTGTATCATGCACTATGTTAGGTACCAGTGATAGAAAGAGAAACAGGGACAGACTCTGCCCTCAAGTGGTCTAAGAGTCCAAAAAGGAGTACTTGTAGAAGTCAACCGAAGTATTTTGCAAATTTGGTACATAAGAGCCTCAAGAGACAGGGTAGGGTTTATTTACATAGTTTAAGCAATGCTGCATCCTATAGTCCTTCTTGAAAATTAATAAAATCAAAGACTCTGAGCAGTCCTATAGTAAAGAAACCTGTTTCACCTTTTAAGTTCTAGAGTTTCTTAAATTTACTTGACTACAGATTTTTCTCAGCTATTAATCCTAATAACATCCATTGAACACCCTTTGAAAAACACTAATACTTTGTAATTCCTTGTATAAAATCTGTAACTCTTTTATAAAAGAGAAGCAGACACATCCAGCATTGCTTTCATTTCTCAGACTCCTGCTGATTATTATATTTGTGGATGGACAAACACTGATTGCTTGATAATAGGTTCTACCATTTTGCCAGCTAGTGTAGAAGTTACACTGAACAGTCTATAATTCACAAAGCATTCATTTACCAAAGATGGACATAATATTTACCTTTTCCTAGCCCTTAGATTTATTCCTTATCCTTTTCTAAAATCAAAGATTATATTTTTGAATCAAGTGTTTGACTAAGTCTTCTAATACAAGGCATCAAGCCTATGGATTTGGGTGCATTCGTGAGATATGTGTTTTTTACTTCATATTCCAGACCCACATCCTTTTGGTGTTCTAGTTTGGTTTTCAATTACTGCTGTTTTGTTCACATTTTATTGCTTCTGAAAAGATAGGAAAAAAGTGCAGAACTTCGGGAATTATGGCCGAAAGACATTTATGCATTCAACATTTACTTATTGAGTGTCCTCACAAGTAGGTAATTGAATTTATCCTCACAGAGCCTATAGGTTTGGTTCCCTCACCTACAGACACAATAGTCCTGGGGAAGTAACAAAATTAATGTGCTAAATACTCCTAGCTATAAAATAAAGATATGTGTGCCTAATGAGGTTGTTGCAAGGATCTAGAACACAGTCTGGAATTTTAAAAAACATAGACAAATACTATTTGTTTTAGAAGCTTCCATCCTTCCTGTATGCTGGTTATATATTCTTCTTTGGACAGATGTCATTTTTATTTAGCTTGTTCTCTGTTGGTAGGGAACAAAGGACCGTCATTGCACTTTCCTGTTTCCCAAGATGCAGTAAAGTTGGGTCAGAGCCACATGGCTCCAGAATCAGGCAGAGCTCAGTTCAAAGCTTAGCTGCCACCCTTACTCACTCTGTGGACTGGACCACAACATTTATCCTCCCTCTACTGTATTTTTACTATCTGAAAGATGGGGATCATCTTTTTGGCCTCTAAGGAAGCCTGCAAAGATTAAATAGAGCAACATATGCTATTCCAGAAAAAATGTTACAGTTTGAGATGATAGGGACTAAAGGAGTAGAATTCAAACTTTTCTTTAAAATGTCAGCTGTTAGAAGAAATACTATAATAAAGAGAAAGCTGACTTTACAGGACTAGGATCTATGGAACTTTGGAGCAAAATGGCAAGGTGGTGAAGAGTGAATGCTCTGTAATGACGGAGATTGAACAATAGATCAACCACTCCTTATTGTGACTCTAGGCTAGGTTACTTAAACCTCTCTGAACCATAAAATGGAGATACTAATGACATTTGAGTGCTTACTATTTGTTAGAGCCTGTTCTAAGTGCTTCTAGTTTCACTACTGTTAGCAACTTAAGAAATAAGCGTAGTATTATTCCCATATTAGAGACAAGGACACTCCAGAGAGCTTCATCCCAGAAAGCAGAGCAGAAAGCTACTGTTTTTGCTTTCCTGGGATCATTCTACTTTCTTCTGCTCATTCCACCCACCCTATGCTTTGAAAGCCACTCTTTCCTAATATCTGTCTTTCCCTAGCTGCAATTGGAGAACAGACCAAATACTATACCACTAGATTCTCCTTGAAGTTATATTCCCAAGCACGGGATGTGAACTCCTGCTACACAAAGCCAAGAGCCTCTCTCTAACCCTCTCTTTTTCAAAGCCTAGATCTTCAGCTGTTCCTTTTACTACATAAATTACCATTCTTTCCATAAATTCAATTTTTGTTTAAATGGCCACCTTGTAGTCTCCTGTATGTAAGTGAAATAGCCTAAAAAATAAACACCAGCTCAGCTAATAGTCCAATTCTAGCCCCTGGAGCCATACGATATGGAAAGAACACTAGCTATCTGATGCAGTCGTTACTTACTCATAAACTCATCTATACCGTGTACAGATATGGGTTCAAGAAGTTAAGGGCAAAGGCTGCCCCAACTATGGACTAGGTTTCAGAGGTTTTCCTTTGGGAAGTATGTGTATTTATGTGTATTTGAAGGTATTTCAAAACCCTGTGGCTATATTATAATCTACTGCAATCACATTCATAGGCTGTATGAATAATGAAAAAAAAGAAAATAAACATGGGAAAATATGCTGGGAGTCGCAAACTAATCACCACCAAAGTGGAGGAAACAAAAGAATCGATCATTCGTAAGTATGGAAGGATTAAGGGCTCACAGAGAAAAAGCAGTTGAAATTTTACCTCAGTAACTTTTAACGTCAATATAAACATGATGGGGAATTCCCTTGGGGTTTAATGGCTCAAATTTTCTAAGAAATTGATAGAGTTATGTTTGCTAGTCATTAATGTAAACAGCAGAGCAGAAATGTAGAAAAGTCTTACAATTAATTTGAATCAAAGGGATTGTGTCAGGGGCGCCTGGATGGCTCAGTGGGTTGGGCCTCTGCCTTCGGCTCAGGTCATGGTCCTGGGGTCCTGGGACAGAGCCAGGCATCCAGCTCTCTGCTCTGCGGGGGCCTGCTTCCCTTCCTCTCTCTTTGCCTGCCTCTCTGCCTGCTTGTGATCTCTGTCTGTCAAATAAACAAATAAAATCTTTAAAAAAAAAGAAAGGCATTGTGTCATCCCAGGCATTCTTCATTAAAATGTATCAACAATGTACAATATAGTTGCACTTTGATGAGTCTAAAATGTGACCTGATAGTTTAAATAACTATCGGAGTCATCTGGCTGAATTTCATCTAGATTTATAACGACTGTTAAAATTTGTAAGAATATGTGTTTTCCA